AGGGTGTTTTTTCTCCATATAAGTTATCATTTTATGCCTATCTACCGTATATGTGGTGAGACATTGCTAATGGTGCTTGTAGGGTTTTAAAGATCACAATTTTTAAAATTAAGAGCAAGAAATGACCCCATGATAAAGTCTAAACTAGTTTAACCTTAACTGGCAAGTTGTAAAATCTTATGTTCTGCCTATACCAAAAGCTTTTTAATTTAAACACTGACCAATACCAAAAATCTAGCTAGAAACAAAGTGATCCCTTTATTAATCACAACAAAATTACAAGAGAATTGCAGACTCGGTTTGATTGAGTCTGTACATGAGGGATAATGAACACATGCAACATCCCTCACACCCACTAGCACCGGCTTAAGCGGTACTCAATTCTCAACACTTAATAGTGCTGGCACCAATGATTTTTTCTTTAACTTATTTCTTTAGTCGGATAGATGAGTTGTAAAAGTCTTACTAATCAGTATGTATACTAAGGCCACGTTTTAGGAAGTCACATAACAGCTTAATCCATTATGCCCATTTTATATTTTGTTTATGTTCATGCCCACCCATGCAAACAATACCATATTTCTTTCATACAGGCATTTTATAAGTATTATTCTTTTCTTACAAAAATCAGAAGATATATGACTTTATAGATTTTAAAGTAACATCTCCAATCTCCCCCAATGGCAACTTAACTTTGAATGATCCTCTGGTGATCCCTTTTCATAGTACAACAAATTAAAATACAAAATGAATACCTCTGTCATATGGTAAGAGATTACCGAGCAAAATCCTTACTTAGTGAATTAGTCAAAACCTGAATCAAAGTAAGATTCTTTTCTGTAATAAATTGGATTAAGCAACAACAACAACAGATAATATATTTGTATCAAATTTATTTTGCATTTTATAAATCTATAGATATCAATAATGATCTGGTGAACACACAACCATTTATCAACATTTCACATGTCTTAAAAAGAGTTGGGTAAAATACATAAAATAAGGTTGTGTTAAAGTAAAAGCAGTAATATAGTATGTAAATGGTAAGTAAAATGGACAGTACTGTATATAGTTAAACAGTTTATCATGAACAGAAAGCATACATTAACTGTATGATGTAATCAAAATATTCACAAAAATATTGTTAGACCTTTACTTTAAAGGTCAAAATATTGAATGACTTAATTACAGAGTTATTTTAGATAAAAAGAGAATATGTATATAATTTACATAACAACCTTAAATAAAACTTTTTCTTTTACTTCGCAATTATTTAAAGGTTAAATGAACATTTAAATTTGGAGTAATACAAGAAACAACCAGCCTGTGTGGTACAAATTGAGTAGAAAGAAATATAAAGAGTTAATAATGATTGACAGGTAAAATATAGCAGTCTGTTACATGTACACTTAAAGCAGCAGTTGGTCATCATTATCAATCATTCACTTTTTTTCTCAACATTTTCGCTCTTTAATAAATTGAAGTAAAGCTAGGACTATATAACTATACACCCTTCTAAAATCAGTTCTAAAATAGGACCAGAATTATGTGAGCCAGTGCCACTATCTGCAAGTTTAATTTCAATTCAAACATGAGAAAAAATCACTTTGTTTTTGTTCAGTTTAATGGCGCACAAATACACAGTTTAGATCATGTGGCACCAAAACAGGAAAGATGATTTTGGCTTCCCTTTGGTGTTACAAACTTAATCAACACCAGGGGTCAAAATCACCTCTCCTACTGCAAAAAATACAAAAAAAAATCACTTTTAACAATATATGATTGTATAAAAGGGTTAAAACTTGATGTATTTGTAATTTCTTTCCCTCATTCTAAAATGCCCAATGAATTCTGGTCAGATTTGACTAACATTTAAAAGGGTGTTAACAACTACAAATACAACCGCTTATTTTATGTACAATATGTACTTTTGTATTATAATAGCACCATAATAAATATATATGTGACTTACTTATTATATACATATACTAAAGGGAACAACATTTTTTCTTTACTACATGGTTTCATTGGTTGCTATGGCAACACAAGAATTTATCAAATTTTCGTTTCATTTGTTCAAGTTTTCATCCTACAATAACACCTTAAATGATACAGGTCTGTTTTCAAGAACATACCAATAAGACAATCTTTAATTTGATGGATTTCTCATGGTTTTAATAATCAAAGACATAATTTATTTACATTTTCCTGTTATCCTTTAACAGGTAGAAAACATGTAAATTGGGGAAATTAAAATTCTTGAACCTATACCCTAATAAAGATTCTGCAAACCATCTAATTAAAGCATTTTCTTAAGTCTTGAATGTATACTTCAATAAAGATAAACTATATCATTTAATAAACACAACTTTCTAAATTCTGCATACAGTATGTTTGAAGGGTAAGTTAAATCATTTATAATGTAAAAAAATATAAAGATACCATTTTTAAAGTGTCATAGTCGATGGTGTGTGTTTAAACGCTAAATACATGTGATAGCTAGAATGAGCATTCTTTTAATCTAAGTGTTAATAATGTCTACCCCTCCACAATTAAAAGTGCCTATATTCAAGTATTGGACCTAATATTCTACTATACTCAAATTCTAAAACGTAAAACATACTACAATTTTTCCCTGAAGTTTAAAAACAATCTCATGGAGTATACTTCCTTTATTAACTAATAAAAAAGTACAATTTTTTTTTAAAGTAACAAAACTTTCAAATTTTCTAAACCATCACATATTAATAGTAAATCTTTAAAGAAAAAATGCTATTAGGTTAAGAATGCTTTTCCTATGAAAACTATTTAACAAAAGTGTTTTAAATTAAAGAAAGATATTATATAGAAAGGGGATTACATAAACAAGAGGGCCATGATGGCCCTGAGGTCACTCACCTGTATATAGCCCCCCCCCCGGCCCAATTTTTACCCAAGGGCTTTTATTTGTTTATTTGAACAGACTTGGTAGACACCCATAAGAAGATGTTTCATGCTAAACATCTAAGTTCTAGCTCATTGGATTTTTTAAAAGAAGATTTTTAAAGTTTTTACTATACACATTTAGTTAAAAAAAACAATGACACCCCCCCCCCCGGGGAGGGGCCAGTTTTGACCCCAGGGCTTTTATTTGAACATACTTGGTAGACACCCATTAAAACATGTTTCATGCTAAATATCTTAGCTCTAGCTCTTTGAGTTCTTTAAAAGAAGATTTTTTAAGTTTTTGGGGCGGGCCAATTTTGACCCCAGGGCTTTTATTTGAACAAACTTGGTAGACACTCATTAGAAGATGTTTCATGCTAAATATCTTAGCTCTAGCTCTTTGGGTTCTTTAAAAGAAGATTTTTTAAGTTTTTACTATATGCATATAGGGAAAATCTATGACCCCCTGGGGCGGGGTCAATTTTTGACCCCAGGGGTTTTATTTGAACAAACTTGGTAGACATTCACTAGAAGACGTTTCATGCCAAATATCTAAGCTCTAGCTCTTATGGTTCTTTAATAGAAGATTTTTTAAGTTTTTACTATATGCATATAGGGAAAATCAATGACCCCCTGGGGCGGGGCCAATTTTGACCCCAGGGCTTTAATTTGAACAAACTTGGTAGACACTCACTAGAAGATGTTTCATGCTTAATATCTTAGCTCTAGCTCTTTGGGTTCTTTAAAAGAAGATTTTTTAAGTTTTTACTATATGCATATAGGGAAAATCAATGACCCCCTGGGGCGGGGCCAATTTTGACCCCAGGGCTTTTATTTGAACAAACTTGGTAGACACTCACTAGAAGATGTTTCATGCTTAATATCTAAACTCTAGCTATTTGGTTTTTTTCAAAGAAGATTTTTTAAGTTTTTGCTATACACATATAAGGAAAATCAATGACCCCCGGGGCGGGGCCAATTTTGACCCCAGAGCTTTTATTTGAACAAACTTGGTAGACACCCATTAGAACATGTTTCATGCTAAATATCTTAGCTCTAGCTCTTTGGGTTTTTTTCAAAGAAGATTTTTTAAGTTTTTGCTACATGCATATAGGGAAAATCAATGACCCCCTGGGGCGGGGCCAATTTTGACCCCAGGGCTTTTATTTGAACAAACTTGGTAGACATTCACTAGAAGATATTTCATGCTTAATATCTAAACTCTAGCTATATGGGTTTTTTAAAGAAGATTTTTTAAGTTTTTGCTATACACATATAAGGAAAATCAATGACCCCCGGGGCGGGGCAAATTTTGACCCCAGGGCTTTTATTTGAACAAACTTTGTAGACACCCATTAGAACATGTTTCATGCTAAATATCTTAGCTCTAGCTTTTTGGGTTCTTTAAAAGAAGATTTTTTAAGTTTTTACTATATGCATATAGGGAAAATCAATGACCCCCTGGGGCGGGGCCAATTTTGACCCCAGGGCTTTTATTTGAACAAACTTGGTAGACACCCATTAGAAGATGTTTCATGCTAAATATCTTAGCTCTAGCTATTCGGGTTCTTTAAAAGAAGATTTTCTAAGTTTTTACTATATGCATATAGGGAAAATCAATGACCCCCTGGGGCGGGGCCAATTTTGACCCCAGGGCTTTTATTTGAACAAACTTGGTAGACACTCACTAGAAGATGTTTCATGCGAAATATCTAAGCTCTAGCTCTTTGGGTTTTTTAAAAGAAGATTTTTAAAGTTTTTACTTTTGGTTGCCATGGCAACCAGAGTTCTGCATGGAATTAAATTCTTTGAACAATTTTTAAAGGTGACCATCAAAGGAACATTCCTGTGAAGTTTGGATGAAATTGGCTTAGTGGTTTATGAGGAGATGTCATTTAAAGTAAAAGTTTACGGACGGCCGGACGCCGGACGAAAAGCGATCACAAAAGCTCACCCTGTCACTTTGTGACAGGTGAGCTAAAAAGTGAATATAATAATGGGAATACTATATATCTATATAAGCATAGACTTTAATTATTATAAAATAGTTAGTAGACATTTATTTAAACATCTACATCATGGAAGAATCTTATTAAAATGCGAGCATAAGTTGTTGTTGTTTTTAGGTCAGTGGTTAATTGGGGCATTCTTAAACATTCAATCGTCAAGATTAAGAAATAAACAAGCACAATAACAGAGTCGAAAATGTAAAGGAAAGTTTGATTTATACTGTAACGAGTAGAATATTATTTACTCGAATCAACAGTAATTACAAAAATCTCTCCTTTTAAAACATCCAGGCAATCTTTTGTTTCAGCTTAACCCTTAACCTGGTGAATTTCTCAAATGAACTTGAACTTGTCTACCTTCCATTTTTGGAACATTCCATTATCAATTTTGGGGATATCAAGATGAAAATATGAAGTTTGTCAGCTAACAGTATAGAGCCTGGTCAGACTTTATGGATGTACAGGTTGGCCTGGCTCTATATTGGTGGCAAAGACAAATCACTATTGGTTACCAGCAAGATAAGGGTTTGAAAACATAAACACAAATAAAGCACTAATGGTGAAATGAGCATCTGTTTTATTATTTTCATTTCAAGTCCTTAAACTCACTTGTCCTTCAAATTTATTTTTTCAATAAAAAAGTTGAGGACTTTATGTCATTAGATAGTTACTTTCTGCTGTGAAATTTTAATCCCTATGTTGTACTGGTTTCCTATCAGAGTACAAAACAGATTTCACGAAAAGAAAAGAAAGTGTGCCGAAATGGAACTGCATCAATTACAGTAATTAAGGCTTTAAATAAATAATTTACTAATTGATTATTATTGAAAAAATGTATCCGAAACACAAATAAATGAAGTTATGCCCCTTTTTTATGCATATCTATTATCATTTATTTACAATCCATGATTAAAGGCATACTTTGTAGCCATGTTACTATGGTAATAACTAGATTTTAAATATCATCATAATTCCTTATTATTAACATATTTCTAGTAATTTGGTCTGAATCTTCAAATGTTATTCCTCTGACAACACTTTTACCCTATCATCACCAAGTGTTCAATTTCTTCTCCAAAATGATCAATAGAAGTTCTCCACATCACTATTTCCTTGGCAACAATGAATTCCATCTTCTACTCACTTCAAATAATGTATTGCATTTTTGTGTCATATACGTGTGTTTGTAGGTACCAATATATACATGTATCAGAGGTGATAGATAGATAACCTTTGACCCTCAGTGACACACTTGGTCCTGACTCGTGTTATCATGTTATTATTTGACTACATCATGTCGGTGCATTGTCGAGCATCAGTGTTTGTTGTTTTCATCAACAATGGCGTCACCGTTGTCATCGGTCATCACTGTGACAAGAGACCCTACAGCCTTGCCAACCTGTCCTGCCATTTTGAACAACTCCCCTACATTATTGGAACCTGACACTGAAAACAGATATTTAATATAAAATGTTACAACATTATTATATATATATAATGATTTAAGTAGAAATCCTTGCTGGATATTTTGAGTCCTAATGCCGTTCAAATTATAACACAGTTGACCTTATGTACATGTATATTACAATTATCCTGAACTATACGTGTATTATAAGATAAAAAAAATATGTAAGTTCAATTAATTTCAATTAAGATTACTTTATCAATAAAAACAATGTAGAATATTTCTGTTAAGGTAAAAAAGCTACTACAAATAAAGCAATTCAACAATGAAGCGAAGTTAAAACAAATAGACAATGTGACTTCTGTTTCAAAAATCAAATCGATATTTCTCCACAAATGTTTTAATCAATCATTATTAACAAACCCCACCATAGTATCATAGAAATGTATAAAACAAATAAACAAGATAACGAACGTTACATTTTTCGTATAGAAAAATCAGGGGAGCATCTCAAAGTCGGTAAAATCAGACTAAAAGGCGCATCGGGGGTCGGATTTTGCAGTTGCTTGTCGCGTAAGATAGGTAGTCACTTAATGCAGACTACATTTATAGTAAATTGCTTCGGGGGCATAAAATAGCGTCGCATATGACAAAGAGTCGTTTAACTCAGAGGGTTGTTAATGCAGTCTTGTCTGTACATAATTTTAGAGTTAAAACGGGGTTTACCTCTGTCTCTGTCAGTACTATATGGTGGTAAAGTGCTATCAGCTCCTAACACAGGACTCATTGAGTTGTCACCATCATGTAACTCTAATAATGAAAATTAAAGACATTCATTTACAAAAAGAGGAAACTTTCAGAAGTCTACAATACAGGCAATACAATATAAGACACAGCTACATGTATAATAGACAGTAAGAATAATTATCTCAAATCATATAAAACCATCAAAGATTAAAGCTGCATGTCTCCAGTTAAAAAAAAACCAAGCTTGAGAAAGTCCATGCCTGATATAATGCACGGAAAGGCACCTGGGGTCTTCTTTCACCAGTAAAGCTGGACCATCGCCATATGACCTTTACTGTGTTAGTACAATGTAAAACCCGATCAAACACACAACCAATAGCATACTTGGGGCATATTATGCTTCAACTCTCCCAAACATATTGTTTTTGCCTTCACCGCCTGTCCGTCCGTCCGTCTTCATTAGGCTTGTCTGGCCATTTCGGGTTAAACAACTGGTTTAAATTCAACCATACTCTACCGGAGTGATCAGTACCCAGTACCATCCCTATATTGTGCACGCCACCTGCATTTTCCACTTCGCTGCACAAAATGGCCGCCAGAGCTAAAAAAATGAAAAATCTTGTCCGACTTTCACAGGTCAAACTACTGGTGGGATTTCAATCACACTTTCCAGGAGTGATCAGTACCATCCCTAGTTGTGCTCATCGCGGGCATGTTCCACTTTGCTGCACAAAAAGGGCACCAGAGCTATAAATACAAAACTTCTTCGGCTTTCACAGGTCAAACTATTGTTGGGATTTGAACCAAACTTTTACATGAGTGATCAATACCATCCCTAGTTGTGCACATGCCCGGCACGTTCTGTTTTGCTGCATAAAATGGTTACCAGCGCTAAAAAATAGAAAAATATTGTCTAGCCCTCACAGGTTAATTACTGGTGTGATTTCAACCAAACTTTACACGAGTGATTATTATCATCCTTAGCTGTGCACACGTCACCAGCATGTTCCGCTTCGCTGCACAAAATAGACACCAAAGCTAAAAATAGAAAAATCTTTTCCAACCTTCACATGTCAAACTACTGGACGGATTTCAACAATGCTTTACAGGAGTGATCAGTATCATCCTTGGATGTGCACGTCACCAGCATGTTCCACATCCAGATGATCACACTATCATTTTGAAGTTTCATATTATCGCAATTTAAGTAAATAAGTACACTTAATCGTGTCCGGGCTGATACTTTGTCATGCATCGAAGGATTTTAGAATAAATAGGCATAAATGTCTACCAGATAAAGACAATGTGGCGCGTTTAATAATCACGTCCCTACCTCAAAGGTCAAGGTCACACTAACATTTTGAAGTTTCACGTTATCACAATAAGAGTTTATAGGTACACATATTTGTGTCCGGATTGCAACTTTGTCATGCATGGAAGGATTTAATGATAACTTGGCATAAATGTCTACCACATCAATACGATGCGCCGCGTCCAATAAACACGTCCCTACCTCAAAGGTCAATGTAACACTACCATTTTGAAGTTCATTTTACCACTATATGTACACACATTCTTGTCCGGACTGCAACTTTGTCATGCATGAAAGGATTTAATGATAACTTGGCATAAATGTCTACCACATCAATACGATGCGCCGCGTCCAATAAACACGTCCCTACCTCAAAGGTCAATGTAACACTACCATTTTGAAGTTCATTTTACCACTATATGTACACACATTCTTGTCCGGACTGTAACTTTGTCATGCATCGCAGGATTTTAAAATAACTAGGCATAAATGTGAACCACATCAAGACGACATGTCGCGACTATGATCCATGTCCCTAACTTCAAGGTCAAGGTCACATTTATAGTTTGTAGGTTCTCATTCTCTCGAGAAGTGTTTGAAGAGACACGTTCATGTCCGGACTGTAACTTTGTCATGCATGGAAGGATTTTACAACAACTTTGCACAAATGTCTACCACATCAAGACAATACGTCGCGGCTAAGGCTCATGTCCGTCTGTCCGTTCATGCGTTCCCACTTTTACAACAATCATGTCCAGACTGTAACATTGTCATGCATTTAGGCATTTTAAATAACTTGGCACAAATGTTTTATAATACCTGCATGCTTAAGAAACATTTTAGGGAGCATTCGTCACTTTGGTGACAGCTCTTGTTTTTTTTGTTCGATTTTTCTTTATTCATGTTTTGCTTAAAAATAATTTTAGTTATCTTTTCCTTGAATTATGTACTTTGTATATCTGTAAAGCCCTGTTATCCCAACTTCATTAGACAGGACTGTATTTTCATTGTAAATGCTCTGATTTTTCATTACAATGACTATTATGAAATAATTGTATGTATTATTATCTTAACAGTTGTTTGTTTATTTTTGTTTTTTAATATTATTTTTTATCTTTTGTTAATGTCGATTGATATTTAAGAGAAAATGCAGTAAGAAACAGCCCAGTGACACATCTTGACAAGATTGCGGAATTTAGTGAGAAGCGTAGATTAATTGTTGCCTATGGTGATCATGACCGGCCTGAATTCAAGCGTCAGAGTACAGAGTTCAACAGTGTAAGTGCTTTTTCTACTTGCATTATTCTTTTTATCAAAATGTTTCAATGCATTTCACCGAATTAAATGACAAAGATAGGTACAAATATAATATGTTTAAAAATAACTCGCGGATATTTTTGTGTCGCCTTGAAAAAGGCGTCATATAGGGGTTACTTTTGTCGGCGGTGTCGGCGTCGTTGTCGGCGTCGTCGTCGGCGTCGTTGTCGGTTTCCCCTTAATTAAGCTTGTCCGGAGCATAAGTCAGTCATTATAAGTTGGATTGACGTCAAACTTGGTATGCATGCTTCTTATAATGACCCAAAATGCAGTGCACAAGAACCGGTACTCTGCACTTCCTAATTTTTGAGTAATTGCCCTTTGTTTACTTTCATACTTTATTTTTGTCGGGGCCATTTCTCCTAATGTATAAAAGCTATGGACTTAAAACTTCATAGGATGATAGATCTCATTAAATAGTGCAGTGCACAAGAATTGATACTCTGCATTTCTCATTTTTTGAGTTATTCCCCTTGGTTATTTTTCATACTTTATTTTTGTCCAAAGCATAAAAGCTATGGACATGAAACTTCATAGGATGATAGATCTCATTAAGAAGAAGTGCAGTGCTTAAAAACTGGTACTCTGCATTTCTTATTTTTTGAGTTATTGCCCTTTGTTAATTTTCATACTTTATTTTTGTTCAGGCCATTTCTTATAAATTATAAAAGCTATAGACTTTAAACTTCAAAGGATGATAGATCTTATTGATAAGAAGTGCAGTGCACAGAAACTTTGCTCTGCATTGCTTATTTTTTGAGTTATTGCCCTTTGTTAATTTTCATATTTCATTTTTGACCTGGCTATTTCTCAAAAACTATATTGTTCACAAGGCGACACATTCGACTCACGGAGTTCTAGTTCTGATTTCTAGCTTGACTTAGTACACAGAAAATAAAATATTGCTCTGGTCATTGGTTGGTTAGAGTCTCTACAATAATTGCTGTTTTCTCTAATTGCATATGTCACGGTTGAGAACTGTTCACTATTTAGGGGAGAATATTTATAAGCGGCTGAATAACTCAGTTAGTAGAGCTGTGGTATGGTATTTTGAGGGTCCTGGGTTAGAGTCTTGGTCTGACTGCAAATTTTTCTCAACCTGTGACACATAAACTTACTTACTTAATAAAAAATACTCAAGATTCATACAAGAATGTTATTTGCCCTTTGTTTGTATAGTTATATAAGGTTCTAATGTAAGCTGTTTTCATTTCAGGCTCTTTTATATAAAGGTATTCTGTCTACGTTGATGGTCATAGCAGATACAGACCATTTTAATGTGATAGAAAATCTACGTCTGGAGGAATACAGTCTCAGTCAGGTACTTTGTCATTATATATAAAATGTCTGTAGACGCTACTATAGAAACTTCTGTTCAATAATATAATTAGAAAAATATCTGTCAATTAGAGTAACCATCAACATGATGAAAATAGGAACATTTTCATTGAATGAATATCTTTCAAATAACCCGCTGAATGAGTGAAATTAACTTGGACTTACCTAGTTTTCATTTTTAGAACTGTCCATTGTCAATATTCAGGATATCAAGGTGAACATTTGAAGTCAGCTTACAGTATAGAGACTGGTCAGACTACATGGATATACAGGCTGGCCTGGCTGTATACTGGCGGCAAAGGCTGATCACTTTCTGTTCAAGCAGGGAAGAGGTTAAAGAAAATGTTAAACTTAACCTTGTATATGATCATTAGCACTATATATTATGTATTAGTAAATAGATTTCCCAGAAATACCAACATTTTAAATGATGTGTCTTTATTCTTAATTTTATTGTTTTATTTTTTTCAGGAAATAATAAATTTAATGAATCTAAATATTGATACAACACTGGACCAGATGCAGTCAGCAAATTTATCTTAGCGTACATATATAAACACTTTGTGTAAATTTTAACTCACACCAGAATGTTTAAAATGGTACAGGGAACCAGTCGTTCAAACTAGTAGTGTGATTTGTATATAAATTTGGGAACCAGCTAAGAACATACTTTATATGAGGAAACTGTCCAGCTTGAGATGGTTGTCTGCTCTACCTAAATGCTCCCCTCATTATTTGTACAAGAATGGTGTAGGGAACCAGTCTTTCAAACTAGTAGTGTGAATTGTATATAAATTTCGGAACCAGCTTAAAACATACTTTATATGAGGAAACTGTTCTGCTAGAGATGGTTATCTGCTCAATCTAAATGCTCCCCTCATTATTTGTACAAGAGTAAGCATAATTTGTACAAGAGTAAGTTATATAAGTTATATAAGTTAAATAAGTCATATTGGCAACTTAAATACAGGGTATAATAAAACATCAAGAAGTACCACTGCTTAAGTGTTAGCAATTCTCTAACAGTTAACAAAATATGTGAACATAGGAACCTGAAATGTCATTTCTTTTGTATTAAAGTCTATTACAGTAATTCAATATGGCCGGTTTGATGTAAAATTTGTATACTTGTACTTTTAAAAACACTTTTAAATTATGTATAATGCTTTGACATTTTGTAAAAGAGCCTGGTCAGACAGCATGGAATACTGGTGATATCTCTAAAGTCCAGAAGTTTAAGTTTTAAAATTTGACAGTGAAATCTGGGTAATGAGGACAACACACAATATCATTACTTTATTACATATTATTGGATGGTCTTTTCAGATTTTAAGTTGTTAGAAAATATTGCAACAGCATCTATATTAAGTGGAAGAAAATTTTATAGATACATGTAGTTAGTTGTATGTACTTTGTAACTAAAATTTTATGTGATTGTTGAATTTTATTTACATGTGTAATACTTTTGTGTTCATAGAACTAATGCATGCATTATATTTTGTTATATTTTAACAAATACAATTACATGTACATGATAAAATATATAATATATATTGTACACAATGTTAATATTCAATCAATGTTTTAATAATTGTGTAGAAAGCTTATTTTGAGCTTAATTCCAAGTCATTTACTTTATTTAACTAGTATGAAATAATTAAGGATGTAGTTTGGGGTCAAAAGGTTCAAGGTCAAAGTATTTTATTTATGTATATTTGTTTACCCTATATTGGTAAGTTGAATTTTTTTCAGTGCCATCATGTAGCAATGATGTGACCATTGGGTGAAGACAGACTGTCAGGGGTTCTTGATTCCACACCCACAGAAAGTAAATCTAAAGAATTGCCTTCTGGTGCATTTAAAAACCAATATAATACACAAAAGTTGTCAAAATAAAAGAAGGATTATGATACAAATTTATGAAAATTACCTGTTGCAACCTCTCTTTAGGTCTCATCAGTTGTATATATATTAAATAAACTCAAAAGATGTCCCTGTTACACTTTTTAGCTCGACTATTCGATAAGAATAAGTAGAGCTATTGTAGTCACCCGAGCGTCGGCGTAACCACTTATGTTAAAGTTTTTGTAATACCTCAAATATTTTCAAAGTCCATTGACATATGGCTTTGAAATATTGCACACTTGTTCACCATCATCACCCAAACCTGTAGACAGGAGGAGGTAACTCTATCAAGCATTTTGACAGAATTATGCCCCTTTTTCGACTTAGAATTTACGTTATTTAAAGTTTTTGTAATACATCAAATATTTTCAAAGTCCATTGACATATGGCTTTGAAACTTTGCACACTTGTTCACCATCATTACCCCAACCTGTAAACAGGAGGTAGTAACTGTATCAAGCATTTTGACAGAATTATGCCCCTTTTTCGACTTAGAATTTACGTTAAAATTTTTGTAATACCTCAAATATTTTCAAAGTCCATTGACATATGGCTTTGAAACTTTGCACACTTGTTCACCATCATTACCCCAACCTGTAAACAGGAGGAGGTAACTGTATCAAGCATTTTTTTACTATCGAGCACTAAGAATAGTCGAGCGTTGCTGTCCTACCGACAGCTCTTGTTTTTATTTGTAAGCGCATCTGCACAGAAAGCGGGTAAAAATGATCTTTTATGTGATGGTAGTGTGTCTTCTGTGGGTTGGAATAGCCACTTTTAATGTCCCCACTCAGAGGGGCGGGGCGACATTTAGGCGGCATTTAGATTTGTCCTTGGCCGTCTGTGTGTGTGAGTTCCCATGTTGTGTCACATGTAGCTCTAAAAGAGTGCTTGAGCTAAAGAGTCAACAAACTTTACCGGAATGTTGATCAGCATGTGGACCTGGGGATTGGCTTGTGGAGTAATTCAATTTTGTTATTGTTCTGCTATTACCTATTGACTAGTGTGCAATTTTCATAGAGTGTCATGCGTAGCTAAAAGTATTTGACCTAGACTAGTAGAGTAGGACTTTTGGTAAGCATGTGAAGTCGTGCACCTAGAGTTTGCTTGTGGATTTATTCAGCATTTGTATAGTTATAGCCCTTGACGTAGTGAAAGACTTTCAATTTTCAACTAGTGTCGTGCATAGCCAAAAAGTGTTAGACCTGGAATCGTCGAACTTTACAGAAATGTTGGTCAATATGTGTAGTTGTGCACCTGAGGATTTGCTTGCAGACTTACTCAGTGTCTTTAGGGTTATTGCCCTTGGGTTATTAAAAAGTTTTTCCATTTTCAGCTTGTGTCGTGCATAGCCAAAAAGGTGTTAGACCTAGAGAAACTTTACAGTAACTGCCCTTGACTAAGTAAAAAACATTCAAAAAATGTTGTGTCATGTGTACCTCTAAAAGTTATTGAGCGAGAACAATAAAAAAAGCTTTGTCAAGAGTGCAATGCCTAGAATTTAGACCCGGCTCCAATAAGTGATGGGTCTTTCTTATACAAAGGTGAACACATACCAAAATCTTCTCTTCTAAAACCACAAAGACAAGATCTTAAATATTTGGCATGTAACTTTAACTAATAGTAAAAAAAATGCAATGAAATTAAAAACACTTTGGTAAAATTTAGATCTGCAAATAGTGACTTCCATAGCAGCCATTGATTTTCCTTAACAACAAGTGACTTTTGAGGCAAAAATATCTACTTCCCTTAGCAACAATTTTAAGAAATTTTCATAGAAACCATAAACTTTTAATTTTTGACAAGTAAATTCCATACCAAAATTGATTTCCTTAGCAATCTCTTACTTCCAAGTGAACCGTTGTCTTCCCATAGCCACCATTACTTTTCATAACAATTATTGAGTTTCCATAGCAACCAATGATTTCAGTAGCAATTTTGACTTCTTTAACAACTTGCCGCTTCCATAACAACCAATGACTCCGTTATCAACAAGTGATCCATATCAGCCATTGACTTTCAACAGTTACCAGTGAAATCCATAGCAATACATTTGTAATTGATTCTCTTTAGCAACCAGCTGCTTTCACATCAAATGTTGACTTCCTATATCAACCAGTGTTCAGACCATTCCCTTTCTTTTGCAATTTCTAACTGCAATAGTAATCAGTGACACTGACTTCCATAGCTACCATTGATTACCTCCAGCCACCAGGAAATGGTTGACTTCTTATAGACATGAATATTTGTAAGTTGAGCTAGATTTTTAGCTTACTACCTACTTTTATTGTGACCATTTGCAATAAGAAGAAAACGATATGATTTAAACATTTTCGAATTGAATTTTCTTAAATAGAAGGTATGAAAATTTAATAATTTTGTTTTTTATAATCAGTGAAAAAATAACTGCATGAGCTGCCATTTTGTTGTTGATCATTGTGAAATGTAATTCTGTTGTCTGTATATCAAAATAATTAGCTAACTTGTGTAAGAATTTAACCGTCATTTCATATATAAATTGTTTTAAAATGATGTTATTAAAAATTTATCAAGTTAATTTTGTATAATCTGTGATCATGTGTCAACATTTTTTCTAGTTAAAGGGTTTTTTTCCTCCTTTTATATGCTCCCCGAAGGGTGAGCATATAGTCTCCGCTTTGTCCGTCCATCCCTCTGTCTTTCCACTCTCACGGGACAGTAATAATGTGGCTAGAGGGATAATAGGTAACTGTTCTTTATCTTTGATGTTATTCATTATGTAATGCTTTTATGTGGCTATTTTCTTTTGTATGGCTTAAAAGAACAATAGAGATGACAATAGAGCAGCCACATTATAACTGTCCCGTTACAACATCCGTCCATAAGAATGAAAATAATACAAGCATCTGGTAAGATTTTTTGATAAAAACGATAATTTGGCACAAGGAATATTTAAAACCAATATTTTACTGGTATTAAAATACAGTTTATCAAAGTAATGTTTTATAATCTGAAAGAGCGGTGCATGCAACAACATCTGATCATACCTTCTACATGGATGGATAGATGTTTGTTATGTTCAACACCATGATAAGTAGTTGGTGATATAATTACTTGCCATAAATGTTCAATGGCCAAGGTCTAGGTCACATGCTAAAGTAAAAGGTCAGATAAAAAAATTTAATGAATGAAACTGTGAATATTGATCATTTAGTAATCACGAAATGTGGGATTTTTAATGTTCATATTGGGGCATTTTTTACTGGCTCATATTATGACTAAATGCTAATCTTGTTTTTATCATTGTTATGTTTTTGTTTTCCAGTATTAATCATTTAATAAGTCAAGCATGCTGTCTTCTCTGATGGCTTTTGTAATTATACGCCCGTTTGAAAAACGGGACGTATTATGGGAACGCCCCTGGCGGGCGGGCGGCGTCCAATTTTGTCCGGAGCATATCTCCTACATGTATGGAAGGATTTTAATGAAACTTCATAGAAATGTTCACCACTATGAGGAGCAGTGTCGCGCACATAAACCAGGTCTCTAGGTCAAAGGTCAAGGTCACACTTAGAGCTCATTGAAAAATGCTTGTCCGGAGCAAAACTTCCACATGTATAGAGAGATTTCAATATTACTTGGCACAAATGTTCACCATTGTGAGGCGGAGTGTCGCGTGCAAGATTCAGGTCCTTGCGGCCAAGGTCAAGGTCACACATAGAGGTCAAAGTTCAGATAAAAAATATGAAGATGTGTATATGGACCATTTAGTCATCATTTATTGAGGGATTGTAACACAAATGGTCATTATCAAGACTATGGCTGTGATACATATAATTTAGGTCAATATATACAAGGTCAAGGTCACTAAAGATGATGATGAAATATCCAGATTTTGTAAATAGAATTTAATCAAAGGGCGACAACAAAGTTATTACTTTGTTCATAAATGACTTACACAATTACTCCTCTTGATCTTCTTTCACTTTCAATTCTAAAAAAGAATTTAATCAAAGGGCATGAAATAATCCTCTTTCTTGGACTTGAGTATGTTCTAAAGAATGTAACATTTATTTACACATGTTTCATTCATTGGTCAAGATTCTTAACTGTGATAACTATGGGGTTCTGTAGACTTGGTATTTGTTCATAAAGATCATACAGTAATTACCTTATCAAATATAAATACTTTCTCATAGAAATTTAATTATATTTTAATTTTCAAGTAAATATCAGTTCAGCTCATTCAAAGATTGAGAATTGTAATGAAATGTATTTCCCTAGAATAAAATCTTAAATCAGAATTTTTTAGTTATTAAATTACAATTACATGTACTTTTTATACGCCCGTTTAAAAAAAGATAAAAATATGAAGATGTGTATAGGACGATTTAATCATCATTTATTGAGGGATTGTAACACAAATGGTCATTATAATGACTACGGCTGTGACACATGTACTTTAGGTCAATATATGCAAGGTCAAGGTCACTAAAAGATGGTGAAATATCCAGATTTTGTCTGGAGCATATCTCCTACATGTATGGAAGAATTTTTATAATACTTTATGGAAATGTTCACCACCATGATATGTATTGCTCCATGCATGATCCAGGTCTCCAGGTCAAAGGTCAAGGCACACTTAGAGCTCATTGAAAAACGCTTGTCCGGAGCAAAACTTCTACATTCATAGGGGGTTTTCAATATAACTTGGCACAAATGTTCACCATTGTGAGGCTGAGTGTCGCATGCAAAATTCAGATCCCTGCGACCAAAGTCAAGGTAACACATAGAGGTCAAAGTTCAGATAAAAATTTGAAGATGGTTATAGGGACCATTTAGTCATCATTTATTGATGGATTGTAGCACAAATGGTAACTATCATGACTACAGGTGTGACACATTTAATTTAGGTTAATATTTGCAAGGTCAAGGTCACTGGAGATGATTAAATATCCAGATGTTGTCCGGAGCATATTTACTACATGCATGGAGGAATTTTAATGTTACTTTTTATAGAATTGTTCACCACCATGAGACGTAGTGCCCTGCACATAAACCAAGTCTCTAGGTCAAAGGTGAAGGTCACAGTTAGAGCTCATAGAAAAACACTTGTCTGGAGCAAAACTTCTACATGCATAGAGGGATTTCAATATAATTTGGCACAAATGTTCATCATTGTGAGGCTGAGTGCCGTGCATAAAATTCAGGTCCCTGCGACCAAGGTCAAGGTCACACATCCTGTGCATATCTTCCCTACTGATTTGTTTTAAGGTTCATTTAACAACACAGTGCCAAGAATAAAAACTTGCTTGCTAGATAACACTTATCCATAATGCCCCCATCTCCATCTAAAGCTTTCGTAAACGGGCGTATTTTGTGACTATGGCACCCTTGTTTCTAATTATAAAAAGATACAAAATAAAATAGACAAAAAGATGAAAAAAGTATATTTATATTTCTTGCAAATCATTAATCTATACAAATGACCCTACTAGTTATACTCATCCAATACATAATTCATGTCAACATCAATAAACTATTATTTTCTGTAAATTAAGCATTGATTAATATACGATACTTATGGTGAAAACATATACCAACATATACCCAAGTATAATTCTAAGAATGATTATTCAGAAGTTATGACTGATCTTACAATGTTTTTTATTTAAGGTCATATATCCGTATACTTTTATGGCCAACAAAAAGTTTATTGTTTGTGTGAAAAACACTGCGACCGTTCACGTTTTGGAAAACTTGAAGTTTTTTACAATCAGGGGACAGTCGATGAATACTTCCTATGCTGCTTACATAGACATTGTCTTCATCATCAACAGTTAGGCCCCATGGTCCATTAAGATCTTTGTCTTTATATATTGCCTTGATATGTCCATCCAATGTTAAACTGGTCACAGAATCCTTCTTAAAATCAGAAACATAGATGGTATTATGATCTTTGCTGAGTGCTATTCCATCACAGCTAGAAAACATCTGTCCTCCATCAGAGTCTGTTTTGATTGTACTTAGAACTTTACCATCCATGTTAAGAATTTTAATACACCGGGCTAATGAACCTTGTGCCACAATAAACTTTCCACTGCTATATACAATACCTAAACAAATAGTGGTTGATATTCTGCCCTCTGTTGTACTTAATAATCCAGATTTTGAAATTGATATAATTTGGATTCCATCCGCGTTACCTATAGCAACTTTGTCATCATTTATTTTAGCTAAACTCCATGGCGCATTTTCTAGTTTCAGTTCTGATACCACAGTCTTTTTCCTTAAATCAATTGCTTTAATTGTATTATTTGAATGATCAGCAACAATGGCAAAATATTGATGGGTTAATGTGACACCATAGACAAAGGGTGATTTCCTTTCACTATCAGTGTTAACCTGTATTTCTGTGTCAAGAGTCAGTGATTTCATATTTTTGTTAACAACAGTACTGCTAGTTGTGTTATTTGAAGTGTCTGATAGATTTGAAGGTTGTTTTGATGCAGTTGTTTGGAGTTTCCTGCTGCGAGGTTTTGCATGTATTTTTGGTGTAACATTTTCTATCCTGCATATCTCAGTTACCTTTCCCATCATGTCTGTAATCTGAGGAGAAGGAAGAAGTTCATACTGTAGTATTTTATTTTCTGCCTGTAAACTTTGTAATTGATTTTCAAATTTCCCAGTATTCCCAGCTGATTGTTTCATAGCTATGAAGGCTTCACAGTGTTGACCAGCTTTCTTTTTAACATCAATTTTCGTTTTCAGTTCTTTAAGGTCTTTATCCATGGTATTGTATGTTGCAGCCATTTTAGTGAAGATGGTTGTATTACTTGCATGTATTTCATCAATTTTGTTCTCCATTTCCTTCTCTAGTTTATCAAAAAATGTGTTAATTTCTTTACGTTGTTTCTTCAACAGAGTTTTTGCTACCTTTCTCATATCATCTGCTATAGCTGACATTGCGTTCAGTGTATTCCTTTCATCTTGAACTTGATGTGACATGACATCGACCTTAGTTACGTATGTTTGTAGATCACCTGTGATATTTATAGCCTTCACAAGTTTAGGAATGTGTTCCACTTTATCACATTGCCTATGATTTAATGTAATACATGTAGTGCATCCAAGTATGTCACATGACGAACAGAAATATTCAATGACCTTGTCTACATGAAGGCTACATGTTGTAACACACACATCCTGTACATATTTATCCTTCACAGTTTGAGGCATAGTGTTTTTATCCTGAAGAACATGGCTTCTGAAAGCTTTAAAAAGTTTATGATTCTTGTAACATTGTCCACAGAGATATTCCGAGCAGTCAACACAGAAACCTTCAGCCTCAGTCTGTCTTCCATCTTGTTCACAAGGTTCACAAAAAATAACTTCTGCCTCATCAGACCCTCCAATTACAGACCTGCTATGATCTGAACACTCAGCCATTTTATCTTGACTACATTGAAAGTTACCCGTATGTCACCGATATGAAGTACTTGTTTTAACGTGTTTATCTGTTATTGAACACTATCGTAGATATGTAGGTCAGGTACCCGGATTAATACAGGGAGGTGTAAAATTACTATATTTAACTCCATATAAAGCTTGCATTGACATAGCTGTATAAGATAAAGCAGTACTAGTTTAAGTATAATTTAAATGTACTGTATATACATGACTGTAACGCTAAATTATTATATTGATTGTAAATATTTTGTTGTGTTATATCATATTAAACCTGAATTATGCGAGTTTAATTTTGTTTAGGTTAAAGCAGCGTATTTGTGTGATTTTTTATGAAAACTTGGATAATTCTTCTAGGTTTTAAATATGTTATCAATAATACATATTAAATGATAACCTAAGTCTGGCCTATCATTACTATGGAGAGAAATTACCTATAAACTATTAAAATATACATATATATTACATCAGGATCATCTGGATTGTATATAGTTATATATTTTTATACAGTAAATGTATTTTTCATATATTTCTGTTTTAACCCCTTGGCATATAGTAACTTAATGTGTACGATCGTCTCTCAGGATGCACTTACACTTGACAGTAAATAGAGTGTTTTTCACCATACAAGTTATCATTTAATGCTTATGTATGGGGTCTGGTGAGAAATTGCTAATCAGAAATGTTGCTTGTGGTGTTTTTAAAGATCACTTTTTAAAATTAAGAAGATCAAAGGGATAACCCCATAGTGGCATGTCAATGAGAAGGTCCAGAATAGTTTAACCTAAAATGTTTTAAAATCTCAAGTTCTGCCTGCACCAACTTCTTAATTTAAACACTGACCAATACTAAGTCTATGATCTTGGCAAATTATGTAACTTTTTCCAGGTTATTTCCATTTTAGCACTATGTAAGTACAAGTAGATATGGTTCAGTTATCTTGGTAGGTTACATTAATTAATACTGTTTATATCTGTAACATTGTTTTCAAAATATACACTCATACTTATTATGGCCATGGCAAGTAACGTTACTGTTGTTTCTATCCCCCCCAATTATTTACCTTTTTGGCACTTTAAAAATATATTTTTCTTTAACCCTCAAGTCGGATATATAATAAATGGTTCTGTACTTTTCAGTAATATGATCATGCCTTAAGGAAGTAACATAGCTGCTTTATCCATTATGCCCTTGTTAATTCTCTATTAGCTCTTTTTTTTAAAGAAAAACAGCTATTGTTTAGTTATGATCTGCTCGACAGCAACAGCATTGGTTAAGTTTCATCCACACCAATACAAACAAAGCTACATATTCATATGGAAGTGCATCTTTCAAACCCAGTTTCAAGCAAAAGGCTAAAGTTAGTGGGATTTGTAACCATCATTGAAACTTCACATATAAAGACTTAACGACAGAAGTGTTAAGAACCATCGCATATCTATTGTTTAGATTACCTGAGCAGAATGTGATCAAGGCAAGCTTTTGCTCTCTCCCTGTCTCCGAAGTGCATCTTTAATTAATATGCATCAAACATTTCATTAACTAACGGTAGCTTTTAAAAAAATATTCTAACAATATTTCTTTTATACAGGAGCTTTTGGATTTTTTTTTTCAAAAAGAATTTTTGCAGGAGATATATAGCTTAATAATTATTTATTTTAAAGCAACATTTCCACCTACACCACAGGTCCAATTGCAACTAAACATTGCAGAATGAGTCTTTGGTGGTCCCATTTGTACAAAAAAAATACAATGAATACTACTTCATTAGGTTAGAGATTACCAAGCAAGAACTTCATTTTATACATGTTCAGTGAAGTAGTCAAATCCTCAATCTTTAATGTAATTAATCGAATAAAACAACAACAGCATTTTATATATTTGTATCAAATTTATTTTGCATTTTATAAATCTATAGATATCAATAATGATCTGGTGAACACACAACCATTTATCAACAATTCACTTGTCTTAAAAAGAGTTAGGTAAAATACATAAAATAAGGTTGTGTTAAAGTAAAAGCAGTACTATAGCATGTAAATGATAAGTAAAATGGACATTACTGTATATAGTTAAACAGTTTATCATGAACAGAAAGTATACACTAACTGTATAATGTAATCAAAATATTCATAAAAATACAACTTGACCTTAAATTTTAAGGTCAAATATTGAATGCATTAATTACAGAGTTATTTTAGATAAAAGGAGAATATGTATATAAAAACCTTAAATATAACTTTTTTTGACTTCGCAATTTGTTAAAGGTTAAATGAGCATAAAACGTAATACGAAAAACAACCAGTCTGTATGCTAAAAATTGAGTAGAAGGGAATATAAAGAGTTAATAATGATTGACAGATAAAATATAGCAGTCTGTAACATATACACTTAAAGCAGCAATTGGTCATCAATATCAATCATTCACCATCATTATCAATCATTCACTTTTTTTTTCTCTCAATATTTTCGCTCTTTAATAAATTGAAGTAAAGCTAGGACTATATAACTATACACCCTTCTAAAATCAGTTCTAAAATAGGACCAGAATTATGTGAGCCAGTGCCACTGCAAGTTTACTTTAAATTAAAACATGAGAAAAAATCAACTTTGTTTTTGTTTTATTTTATTGCGCACCAATACACAGTTTACATCATGTGACACCAAAACAGGAAAGATGATTTTGGCTTACCTTGAGTGTAACGAACTTAAAGTCAAAAATCATCTCTCCTCCTGGAGCTAGGAAGTTACATTTTAGCAACAAAAAATCACTTTTAACAATATATGATTTTATAAAAAGGTTAAAACTTGATGTATTTGTAATTTCTTTCCCTTATTCTATCTAAAATGCCCAATGAATTCTGGTCAGATTTGACTAACATTTAAAAGGGTGTTAACAACTACGAATACAACCGCTTATTTTATGTACAATATGTACTTTTGTATTATAATAGCACCATAATAAATATATATGTGACTTACTTATTATATACATATACTAAAGGGAACAACATTTTGTCTTTACTACATGGTTTCATTGGTAATCCTACAATAACACCTTAAATGATACAGGTCTGTTTTCAAGAACATACCAATAAGACAATTGTTAATTTGTATGGATTTCTCATGGGTTTAATAATCAAAGACATAATTTATTTCAGTTTTCCTGTTATCTTTTAACAGGTAGAAAACATGAGAATTGGGGAAATGAAAATTCATGAACCAATACCCTAATAAAGATTCTGCAAACCATCTAATTAAAGCATTTTCTTAAGTCTTGAATGTATACTTCAATAAAGATAAACTATATCATTTAATAAACCCAACTTTCTAAATTCTGCATACAGTATTTTGGAAGGGTAAGACCGTAAGTTAAATCATTTATAATGTAAAAATAATAAAGATACCATTTTTTAAAGTGTCATAGTCGATGGTGTGTGTTTTAACGCTAAATACATGTGACAGCTAGTATGAGCATTCTTTTATTTTAAGTGTTAATAATGTCTACCCCTCCGCAATTAAAAGTGCCTATATTCAAGTTCTGGACCTAATATTCTACTATACTCAAATTCTAAAACGTAAAACATACTACAATTTTTCCCTGAAGTTTAAAAACAATCTCATGGAGTATACTTCCTTTATTTTCTAATAAAAAAGTACATATTTTTTTAAAGTAATAAACTTTCAAATTTTCTAAACCATCACATATTAATAGTAAATCTTTAAAGAAAAAATGCTATTAGGTTAAGAATGCTTTTCCTATAAAAAAAAACTATTAAACAAAAGTGTTATAAATTAAAGAAAAATAAAAAAAAGGGGATTACATAAAAAGAATGAATATAATAATCGGATTACTATAAATCTATACAAGCCTAGACTTTAATTATTATAAAATAGTTAGTAAACATTTATTTAAACATCTACATCATGGAAGAATCCTATTAAAATGTGAGCATAAGTTGTTGTTGTTTTTTGGTCAGTGATTATTTGAAACATTCTTAAACATTTAATTGTAAAGAGTAAAAACAAGTTAATGATGTCGAAAATGTAAAGGAAAGTTTGATATATACTGTCAAGAGTAGAATATTATTATATACTCGAATTAACAGTAATTACAAAAATCTCTCCTTTTAAAACATCCAGGCAATCTTTAGTTTCAGCTTAACCTTTTTACCTGAGCTGAAATTTCTCAAATGAACTTGTCCAGCTTTCATTTTGGAACATTCCATTATCAATTTTCGGGATATCAAGATGAAAATATGAAGTTTGTCAGCTAACAGTATAGGGATTGGTCAGACTGTATGGAAATACAGGTCGGCTCTGGCTCTATATTGGTGGTAAGGACAAATTACTTTTGGGTACCAGCAAGATAGGGGTTTTAAAACATAAACAGAAATAAAGCACTAATGGTGACATGAGCATCTGTTTCATTATTTTCATTTCAAATCCTAAAACTCCCTTGTCTTTCATTTTTTTGTTGTTTCAAATAAAAATGTTGAACATTTTCTGTCATTTTGAAACCTTCTGTTCTGAAATTTTTATCACTTTTTTGTACTGGCTTCCTATCAAAGTACAAAACAGATTTCACGAAAAGAAAAGAAAGTGTGCCGAAATGGAACTGCATCAATTACAGTAATTAAGGCTTTAAATAAATAATTTACTAATTGATTATTATTGAGAAAATGTATCCGAAACACAAATAAATGAAGTTATGCCCCTTTTTTATGCATATCTATAATTATTTATTAACAATCCAAGATTAAAGGCATACTTTGTAGCCATGTTACTATGGTAATAACTAGATTTTAAATATCATCATAATTCCTTATTATTAACATATTTCTAGTAATTTGGTCTGAATCTTCAAATGTTATTCCTCTGACAACACTTTTACCCTATCATCACCAAGTGTTCAATTTCTTCTCCAAAATGATGAATAGAAGTTCTCCACATCACTATTTCCTTGGCAACAATGAATTCCATCTTCTACTCACTTCAAATAATGTATTGCATTTTTTGTCATATACGTGTGTTTGTAGGTACCAATATATACATGTATCAGAGGTGATAGATAGATAACTTTTGACCCTTAGTGACACACTTGGTCCTGACTCGTGTTATCATGTCATTATTTGACTATAACATATCAGCGTATTGTCGAGCATCAGTGTTTGTTGTTTTCATCAACAATGGCGTCACCGTTGTCATCGGTCATCACTGTGACAAGAGATCCTACAGCCTTGCCAACCTGTCCTGCCATGTTGAACAACTCCCCTACATTATTGGAACCTGACACTGAAAACAGATATTTTATATAAATTGTTACAACAGTATAATACATCTGTAATGATAAAAGTTGAAATCCTTGATGCATATTTTGCATCCTATAGTCATTAAAATAAAAACACAGTTAGCCTGATTTAAATTACAATGATCCCAAATATCTTAATGTAATTTGCTTTTTGTAAAGTAAGATATTTAACACTTAACATACTCAGTATAGTCTCTTTGTATCTATGTGCAGCAAAAAATACGGTATAGGTAAATGTCTCTCTGAAACAGTAACCGAGCCCTTGTATTATATCCCCAACAGTGATTTTATATCTAAATAAATCAATGTTTGGAGTCCAGATGCAAAGAGCATGTGATATAATGCTGCCCATCAGGACTCCAAACAGTGATTTTATAAACAGATAATTGAGATGAAAATATGTTGGACTTTAATTGATGGGACCAAAAATTCCTTTTGACTAAACAGGAGTCTCAGTAAGTCAAAATTTGACCTAAGCAGAGTTAAAGTACAAAGATAAAGAAGGAAATTTGACGGGACTTTAGAAATTCTTCGACTAACGTGGAATTTTGACTTATTGAGAGTCAGCTGTATCTATATTTTCTAAGAAAAAAAATTGAAACTTGATTTACCTCTGACTCTGTCAGAACTATATGGTGGTAAAGTGTTATCAGCTCCTAATACAGGACTCATTGAGTTATCACCATCATGTAACTCTAATAATGAAAATAAAAATCAATCATGTAACTCAATAATGAAAATAAAAAAACATTCATTAACAACAAGAGGAAATTTCCAGAAGTCCACAATACTTATCACACAAGACACAACTACATGTATAATAGACGGTAAAAATAATGATCTCAAATCATATCAAATTAGCAAAGATAAAAGCTGCATGCCTCCAGTTAAACAAGAGGGCCATGATGGCCCAGAAATCGCTCACCTGTATATAGGCTCCCGGGGCGGGGCCAATTTTAACACAGGGGCTTTTATTTGAACAAACTTGGTAGACACCCATTTGAAGCTGTTCAATGATAAATACCGGTATCTAAGCTCTAGCTGTAAGAAGATTTTTTAAGCTTTTACTATACACATATAGGGAAAAACAATGACCCCCCCCCCCTCTCTGGGCGGGGCAAATTTTGTTCACAGGGCTTTTATTTTGAACAAACTTGGTAGTCACTCACTAGAAGATAGTTTATGCTTAATATCTAAACTCTAGCTCTTTGTGTTTTTTAAAAGAAGATTTTTTAAGTTTTTACTTTATACATATAAGGAAAATCAATGATCCCCGGGGCGGGCCAATTTTAACCCCAGGGCCCTTATTTGAACAAAAATGGTAGACACCCATTAGAAGATGTTTCATGCTAAATATCTTAGCTTTAGCTCTTAGGGTTTTTTAAAAGAAGATATTTTAAGTTTTTACTATATACATATAAGGAAAATCAATGATCCATGGGGCGGGGCCAATTTTGACCCCAGGGCCCTTATTTGAAGAAACTTGGTAGACACCCACTTGAAGATGTTTCATGCTAAATATCTTAGCTCTAGCTCATAGGGTTTTTTTTAAAGAAGATTTTTTTAAGTTTTTACTATATACATAAAGGGAAAAACAATGACCCCTTGGGTGGGGCCAATTTTGACCCTAGGGCTTTTATTTGAACAAACTTGGTAGACACTCACTAAAAGATGTTTCATGCTTAATATCTAAGCTCTAGCTATTTGGGCTTTTTAAAAGAAGATTTTTTAAGTTTTTACTTTATACATATAAGGATAATTAATGACCCCCAGGCGGGGCCAGTATTGACCCTAGGGCATTCATTTGAACAAACTATGTAAACACTGACTAGATGATGTTTCATACCAAATATTTAAGCACAGCTCTTTCGGTTTTTAAAAGAAGATATTTTAAGTTTTTTCTTTCAGTTGCCATGGCAACCAATGTTATGCTTTGAATTAAATTCTTTGAACAATTTTTAAAGTTGACTACCAAAGGAACATTCCTGTTAAGTTTGGATGGAATTGGCTTAGCGGTTTATTAGGAGATGTCGTTTAAAGTAAAAGTTTACGGACGGACGCCGGACGAAAAGCGATCACTTTGTGACAGGTGAGCTAAAAAAAACACAGGCTTGAGAAAAATGTACTGAGATATTATGAAAAGTAAAAAGATTCAAAATTCAAGTCTGTGTTTATTCTAGGAAGAGGGGTGGGGGGATTCATTCATATTTTTTATATTCCTCCCTATTTTTTCGGAGGCAAGGGGAAAATTTTACATAGAGAAAGAAGAAAAAGGATCAATAAATGTAATAAATTCTCACTTTTCGATAAAAATCCCCCGTTTTTCAAATTCTAGAATAAACACTGCAAGTAATAATTTATGAGACTGTCCACAAGAGGTTGTCTCAGGGCAAGCAATGAAATTTTGTACAAAGGATAACTAGCAGGTGGACCAAAAACTTAATTAGCAGTTGTCAAGTAGACTACTAGAACTTCAGTCAATGTTTTCAAGGTGTAGTCTATAATACCTCTTTTTTTCTTTTGAAGTGCCCCTTTCACACAAAATGAAGATCATGACTATGTTATATAATATATAAGTATACAGAATAAGTTTCTTTACCTGCGTGTTCATGACCATTCATCTGTGGTGTGGATTCTAGCTGGGGTATCAGGTATTTTGATGTACCACCAGGGAGGGAACT